TACACATCCGCTGACTCGGGAGGCAGCGTGACTGAATCCCAAACACAAGTTCAAAAGTTTTCTGGGTGTTTCAGAGCTCCAGAGAATCTTGTTTCACTCAAACAAACACATAGCCTTAATGATATGCACCACACTGTAATCAGTGAGAACAAAAGCATTGAGAGGAAATACAGCCAAGAGGCATTCAAGATCCAATCATTCACCAGCAGGGGAGCAACTGCAATACTTTTCCTATCAGCTTAGAGGATCAACACAAATAAAAACTTCATCACATGGATGAAAACAGTAGGCCACAACTAACAATTATTTTCATTATCGATACACTGATTCATCATTTAGTCCATACAATGTCAGAAAATGATGAAAAATGTTGTCCAAGGTGACGTCCTCTATTGTCTTGTTTTGTCCACAACCCAAAAATATTGAGTTTACTGTCATAAAGGGTTAAAGAAAGCAGAAAATGTTCAAATTTTTTTAATTATAAAAAAATATAATCATATCATTGATTATTAAAATATTTAGCGATTTAATAGTTGACAAGTGATCAATTAATCATTGCTGCTGTAGTTTGAACTGATTCCTCCTCCATTTTCTTTACAGAAAAACCTTCTGTTTCTGTTAAATTTAAATGAAGCCCATACAAATTATGGTAATACATAGAGCACTAGGGCTGCAACTAACGAACATTCTCAGCTTTGATTTCTTTCTCCATTAATCGATTAGTTGTTTGGTCCATAAAATGTCAGAAAAGGATGAAAAATGTTGATCACTGTTTCCCAAAGCCAAAGATTACTCTAATGGTTGACAATGAACTGAAGAATCACTGCAGCCCTAGAAAATAGGAAGACGTGGAAAGCGAACGTGTGACATGTGTCTCTGTACTAGGGTTGGGCAATATGTAAAATGTTCCGCCACTGTCAGTCCAGCAGTCAGCGTTTGCCGATATAGTCGCACATGCGTGTGTGCTATGCCAGTCACATACTACTGGACTGAAATGAATCTAGTATTACGTCTGTGCTGTACTGACCCACATTAGGTCCAGTTTTTACCCAGTGATTTTTATTGAAACTGCAACTGGACCTCCTATATAATAATATCCTGTATAGTGACAGATAGAAAGGGAAGGATTTTGTATGGTGGTATTAAGGATGTAGTTACTGTGTCATTCCTTAGACAGGAACCGCTAAACACCTCTGATTGAACTCATTTTCATTTTCTGGTAAATCAGGCAAAATTTCCTGCACACACCTGCTGCACGTATGTGTTACCATGGTTACTAAATGATCTTGTATAAATACAGGCTATGTGACGCTTACGGTTGACAGATCGGGAAGGACGACCTCCTAACAGCTGATGATCGGCAGATGGATTTAACAGCAGTTTAGTTTTTGATTTCACACCACAAAGGAACCACATCAGAGTTCGCTTGAAGGCGGACTGAGACCCTCTTTTGGCAGGCGGTCTCAGTCTGGTTGTTTAATCCGCACCGGAGCTTGACTGACGGCTTTCACGCTAGCTCAAACGAACCAAAATAACACGGTAGAGCTTAACAGAACCAAACCAGACAGAGCAGATGTGAAGTGCAAAGACAGCTAAAAGCTTTTGAATGCTAAAATGTTCAAAAACAAACTGCACTTTTTTTTTGTTTTTTCCATTGTTTCTATCCACTACACTCCTGAACAACGGTGTCGGCCCGCAGCCCTCCTGGCACGTTATGCTATATGTATTTATCGAGCAACCGAGTGACATCTAACAGCTTAGTCATAATTAGTCCAACTCAGTCTAGGGCAGGCAGCCTGTTAGCAGGCATATGTTCAGATCCTGTTAAAGACACATTGCTCCCCGAGGGGATGCCAGCATGTTGACATGTGTGTGTAGGTTGTGTGTGTTTGCGTGGGTAGGGGCAACAAGTGGGTGTGTCAGCAGACGGTTGCTGTGGAGCGCGCCCCAAGCCTCCATTAACACAACCCACCATGTCCCCTTCCCTCGGCTACCCGGCCATGCTGAGAGAGGCCACTTGAAACCTGGAGGCAAAGCGAGTTCATCCGAGTGTACGGAAGAGGAAGACGACAGGACGGAGCCGGAGAGAGGAGGGGAAGGCAACGAGAACCTGAGTCACAGGGGGAAAGTGAGAGGCGGAGTGGGGGGGGGGAGGAAACAAGGTAAGGAAGAGAGGAAAGCGGAGAGAAGGAGCAGAACAGAGGCACAGGCTGGCTCAGGTCCAGGGTTATCACTGGCAAAAGTCAAGGCATTTGCCAGCTGCCAGCTGGAGACGGCAGCGCTCGGCCAGAAGGATGCTGCCCCGCTCGGCTCCTGTCGGCTGGTGTGTTTGTCTGCGTCTGTGTGTCTGAGAGCGCAGCGTGGATGCTGCGGAGCGCTGAGAGCTCCGCTGATGTGTTAAAGCGCCGGACAAGGACCATATGCAGAACCAGCTACACTGACTGAGGGGAGGGTCTTTACAAAACACAAACAAGTCCAGTCACAGTCGCTCCTCCTCTGCCATCCAGAAGCTAGCGTTAGTTCCCGCCAAAGCTGCCAGCAGTCCCTGCCGTGGAAGAGAGGAGGGGAGCTGCTTAAAAACATCTCCCTAAGTCTCCTTCTTTTGGCAGATGATGCTAAAGTGTATCCTCCTTAGGCGGGACATTGCATAAGTGAGTGTAGCCAGCCGAGCCCGGTCGCACGTCAGACGGATGTCAACAAAAATAAATACATATAAACCTGCAGGAGTCTGTGTAAAAAGTTTAACACACAGAAAGTTTGTTTATATCATCAAGCGCTCCTCTCTTCATCGTCTAATCAGCGATGCAGAGCCACAGACGCCGTCCCAATTTCCCCCATCATTCCTCTCTCTTGGAGATGAGTGTTAGGGAGGGAGGGAGGGAGGGAGGGAAAGTAGCAGGGATTCCGTTTTTCAGGGTAAAGTGTGAGGCTGCTGCAGCTTTACTCGCTCGCCACATGTGTCCCTCCCTTCTGACGTCAATGTGAGACAGGCACACGCATACACACTGCCACACCGCCATATTACATGCAGTTAGAGCTGGAACATCAGTTGATCAAAACATTATGTTTTTAAGTTTAAGTAACTTTTTGAAGTGCAAATCCCCCCAGAAAATCACTGATTTCATCTTCTGAAATGTGAGCATTGTATGACAGTACTCTGAACCTATGGGTGTCAGACTGATGGTCGGGCAAAAGAAGCAATGTGAATATTTCAGTTAGAGCTTTGGGAAATTGTGACAGGCATTTTTCACTATTATTTGACATTTCGTACTCCAAACTATAGAACATAATAGTCAGATTAAAGCTGCAGTAGGTAACCTTTATAAAAAAGAACTTTTCAAAGTCATATTTGCTGAAACTTTCACTATATCCTGACAGTAGTACATGAGACAGATAATGTGTGAGACAATCAGGTTCCTCTGGCTCCTCCTAATTGGATTTATCTTTCTTGGCTCTGATTGGATGTTTTCGTTCAGGCCCAGTGGATTCTTGTAAATCCCATTAGGAGCACTAGGAGGAGCCAGAGGAACCTGATTGTTTCACACATTATCTGTCTCATGTTCTACTGTCAGGATATAGTGACAGCTTCAGTAAATATGACTAAAAGTTATTTTTATAAAAGTTCCCTACTGCAGCTTTAATAATAATAAAAAATAATAATGAGTTCTATAATATCATGAGAGGTGAAACTGATTTTAGATGGGCCCTGCTGCACTAGGCACTTTCTGAATGACACCCATCAGCAGTGTGTGTCTTTTAGATATCTCTAAACCCTCAAGGGTGTCTATTTCCTCTGTGGCCCCTCTACAGGGAGGTTGGAGGTCAGCCACAGGTGGCACAGTAGAGGGACTTCCCGCCCATGAAGCCATCTTGACCCAAAACCTTCAGTGAGGCAGCCTTTACTTTTTACAATCCCAGTGCTAGAGCAGCCTGCCCAAGGATCTGAGAGCAGCTTTCAAAGTGTTCAAATGTTTTAACTCAAAACCCCACTCCACCCTGGTCTTTAACTAAGGAATGGTTTTTAGACATTAACATTTTTTACTCAATTATCTTCATTTCTTTTGTACATTTCATTGTGTTTTATTTGTTTGTAATTTCGGCCTCCTTTCGATTTTGGAATCTACCTTATTTAGTTTTACTCCATTCTGTCTCATTATCGTCTTGTCAGTCGTCTGTAAAGCACATTGAACTGTGTAAAAGGTGCTTGTCCAACAAAACGCCCTCTGCTCTTTTCCACAAGAAAGACAATTTGTGAAATCGTTTTAAACTCACATGAAGTCATCACACATGAACTGAAAAGCAGCCTCAGCATCCTGGGAAGTGTTTAAATTCACCTTAATGCGGTTCTAGCTCAGGAAGCGCCCCCTCTAACGGACAGAGCTGGTATGACTCAGCTTCAGCAGGAACAGCTCCCTAGGAAGAGGTTAATCCACTCATAGCATTTTAATGACATCCACACCAGCGCACCATACTAATCACATTTCACTCCACATTTCACGAAAAGCTGGCAGCCGGTGTGCAGCTGGTGGGGCCGCTGCAGCCCGGCTTCTGGCCGCACAGTGTCCTGGAGCTCCACGAAGAGCAAACTCACGCATCTCGGGAGGAATATGTCAGCCCCCAAATAGCCTGCAAAATCTATCACTCCGGAGCCAAGAACGTCACAACTCCGACAGTGGCGTTCATCAGAGAAAAGCACACAGCCCCGTGATGCATTACAGCGGCAATAAGCAGCTTTAAAACAGCTTCAACCAAAGGAGTCCCTCATCCTCCACGGTATCAGTCATCATACGGCGGACCGGTCCCTCATCATACGCCGGCCCGGCTCCGCTCAGGTGCTGAACACACGTATGAACTTCATGACGTAAAGTGTGACATTTTTAACATGCGAGATAAAAGTTAGCTAAAAGATAAGCGGGAAAACGCCTTTTTGAAAGAAAAGCAGCCCAGTGAAAAGTTGAGCGGTCGGCGCTGGTGGATACAGATACTGCACTTCGACTCACCTTGAGCGGCCGTTCCTCGGGTGCTGAATACACTTGCTATCAAAGTGGCCACATACCAAATCATAGTACTATTGCCGGCCAGAAATAAACCTCATCATATCTCAAAGTGCCCCTTTCGGTGAATCTCTCATCGCCGAGTGGCCCAGGACAAACTGAAGCGGGCCGGTATTCCTGTTTTCTTGTTAACCGAGCCCTGGACACTTTTCCATCGGCGCTTTCCCCTCTCTCTTCCCCTCTCCTCCGCTCTCCTCTCGCATCCTGAGACGGATCACCTGCGCCAATGGGACGAGAGCAGACGACGCGGTGAAACCAAGCGCGAGCTTTTAGAGAACCGCGGTCCCGCCTCCGCGCTCGCTTCATTGATGGGCGTGGGACGAGCGGGCCCGCTGATTGGTTACCTGCGGTGTCGCTTTCTCAGCTGGAATGTTGTGTTCAGGACATGTGTGAATACTCGGAGTTTTCAGTGTTCGGGTCGAAGAAGCGAGCTCCGTGTGCTCACGGAGGATAGAAAGAGAGCCTGCTCTTTCATTATTGGCTTTTTTCGACCATAACGCACTTATACTTACAATTATAGCTGTAATATCATGATGTTTATGCATCATTTTGAGTCTACATTTCAATTAAAACATTATCGATACAATATTTTCATAGTGGGGTTAGTTAGAAGCAAAAACATTACGCCTAAAGCAAGTCGTGAGACAAAAATAGGTAGATTAAAACAATAAAATAAGAAGGGAAAAATATTAACATCATTATCCTACATTGTGGTAATAGAAACGTTTAAAAGTTTTTTTTAACCAAAAAGGATTAGGTATGACTGAAATGACGATAACAAAGAGAAGATGCCCCATCAGGGTTTTTAATAAGTTCATCACTTATAGTAGGCTACAGAAAGGCCTACACAATATCAGTCCCAACCACAGATGGTGTAAATCCAACAGGTGGTTACGCTGTATAATAAACAGGCTATGATAAAACTCACTCCTGTTTGATTGAATGACAGTGATACTGCCAAACGTTGATTGTAGGTGTTTATACAATTTTGTGTGAGTCTGTGGAAGTGGGATCTATGGGTAAAACTGCAAGTTTCTAACTTCTGTGTTTAAAAGAGTTTTTAATTTTCCGGTTTTCATTTGAGCATTGAATGCAGCACCAGAGGGAACCGTTTCAAGGTGGGTTGGAGTGTGAAGCCGTAGCGGAGCTGCGGTATCATCCTGCGCAATTAGACGAGAGGAATCCTCTAGTGTTCACATCACTGCTATCCTTACATTCAAAGATATGAAATATGAGGAGCATGAAGGAATGAGTGGTGGGGAGGTTGCCATAGTAAAGAAATACCTGAAGACCTCCAGCACTTACTAAAACTATTTCAAATACTTATAACAAATAACTTGTCTGAGTTCAGCCTGATTCATCTTCATTGATACAGTGAGTCAAGGACAGATTCAAATTCAACTGACTCAGTCTGCCTTGCTCATAGAGCAGTTCTCCTCCACCTCCAAGTCTAAGCCCCCCCCGCACCCCAACCACTGCTCCTTCAGGAGGAGGCTCCAGTGACAGGCTCCAGCAGGATGACAAATAAATTCATTGGGAGTAATTTGAGGTCATTTGGTTTTACGTGTGCTGGTGTTGTTCTCATTTGCTCTTCTGGTCCCCAGCTTACAGATAATAATTGATTTGTTTCATCCACATAGTTTTTCCCACATAAAATCAATCAAATTTGACTACAGAGAAGTTCATGGCTTATGATGTCTTCTTTAAATATGAACCTCAATCAGAAACGTTCTAGCTGACGTCTTCTACTGTTCCACTTCATACATGATAAATAAATCATTCAAAACTGGCCAAATGATGACAAATGTGGCAGATGATACAACTTGTTTTGCAACCTCAGTCATCTGTTTTCATCTTCTCAGCAACTGAAGATATATTGGGACTGCTTTTTTAAAAACCTGTCTGTTCTTCTTCTTTAAAGCCCTGTCCAGTCTCCTGTTCTCAGTTTTTTTATTTCTAATGTTTCAAATCTTTGCTATTTCACTGAAGAGAAACTCAACAGAGTTTGCATCACACTGTAAAACCTGACAACACATCTTGATGAAAGTAGTAAGTTGGCATAAATTAACTCATTCACATGAATTCAACCCAACTATAATGACAAAAATTTCAACTGTGGTTTTTATTTCAGTTGATTGATCATCATAAGCACATATATGCATCCACATGATTCTTAATTGGCTACCATTTTGATAATCAGTTAATTCTAAACAGTTTTTATGGTACATCAGCTGTTTTGACACATAATGTCATAATTTGCTTTAGTGCCACTTACACATTGGCCCACTTCACAAACCTAGAAGCTCTGTCCACTATATGTACTGTAGACTGAAATATCTCTTCAATGATTGATCTCAGGATGAAATCACTTTCTGATGATCCTCTTTGGTGTCGGAGGCGACATAGTTTCCACATGCTGTGAACTGAGTGGTAAATGAACGTGCAGAAAAATGTTTGTAAACAAAAGCCGGCATATATTTTTGGCGGGCTGGAAAATCGCGTTCACATGTGTTGCGTTTGTCGCGTTCGTCACGCTCATCCCGCTCGTCATTTCCTGTAAGTGTTCCTTTTGGGACAATACTAACCATCGAAAGTGGGCACTACGGCAGTAAGTGGTCAGTGCATATTAGCAGTGTACTGACGGAAGTATGCGGAATGAGACACAGCCTTAGTCTGACTTTATAGTCTCAACATGACGATGCATCTTGTACTCAATTTGTCAATTAGCAGAGTCTATATTATTTTGCAAGCTAATCTTAGATTTCCCCTCCTCTCAAAAAACAGTGTTTCTTCCTGTCCCTACAGTGTGATGTTTGAATGCTGTCTGTGCAGAGTTTGACACTAGAAGGATGTTTTCACATTCATCTGCTGAAAGTGGAAAGTTTCTCTGAGCTCATTGAAAATCAGATTTTAAGGGGCGGGGCCTACCAGCAGGATTTGTGACATCACAAATAGTTAGGAAGTCCATCCTGGTCCAGTATCAACTTGTACAGTGTGATGTAGAAAGTTGAAGCCACCAGTGCACATCCACTGAGAATGGACTTTACAGTGAAGTAGGAGACATCTTGTGTCCAGCAGCAAAACTTTAGAAATGAACAATATTTGCATATTCAGAGATTCTGGAAGAACAAATATATCAGACACACATTATTGTTCCAGGCAGACTATTAGTATATATCTTAAAGGACAATTCCGGCGCAAAATGAACCTGGGGTTAATAACACATGTGTACCGAGTTGGTCCGGTCTCTGGGATATGTTTTCATGCTAACCGCTAATTAGCTTATAACGCTAGCCAACGGGGCACCGAGTAACGTGAAAAGAAACCGTTTTTTATACCACTAACAAGACTCAAAATAGCACCACACTTACACGGTAGCATAATGAGGGCCCCTACCTATAAACCGAAGCATTGAGAACTTTGTAAGTGTACAGACAGTTTATTAAAAAGATAGTTTAGAACAACAGTAGCGTTCGCGTATGCAGGCGGGTGCCATCTTGGGAAAACAGTCAGGGGTTCGGTCATTCATGCAGATCAATGATAAAGACTTACAGCTGGTAATGTGAACTAAAACAAACGTAATTTGCTCAATATATCAGAAATAATCGCACCGATGTAAAACATAACTCGTCTAGTGTACTTACTCAGTGGATAACTGTCCATCTGGTCCCTCCGGTATGAGTCGCCGCCTCCAATTTATTTCCGGGGACATGGAAAAAAGTTTCAAGTACAGCTGTTTATCAGAGAGGGGAAATCTTCAGACTGTACAAAACACTGTGTCTCTTGGGTGTCGCGACGCAACAGGTCCCACTGCGTGCACCACAGGCACTCCTCTTCGGTGGCCATATATTAGCTTCACAATGTCTGCAGGTACGCCACCAGTTTCCCGAAGTACGAGGCTGTGTTGACTACCGGTAGCTCTCTCTCTCTCGTAGCCCTTTCATGGAGCTCCCGCCGCTCTTTGTCTGTGCTTTCTTCCGGCAACAACGTTTCACGCGAAATTCACTTCACGGCCCTCATTATGCTACCGTGTAAGTGTGGTGCTAGCATTATAAGCTAATTAGCGGTTTGTGCTAAAACCGGTCACGGTCGATTAGCATGAAAACATACCCCAGAGAACGGACCAACTCGGTACACATGTGTTATTAACCCCAGGTTCATTTTGTGCCGGAATTGTCCTTTAATACATGTTTGGAAGGAATCTTTAAAGATATAAAAATTAACAAGTAGACTTTGACTGGATTCTCCGGGTCCAAACTTCAGTTCTTTTATTGTGTAAACCTATGTGTTGAACTTGAGAGGGATTCTTATTTATCCTCTTTTCTTTTGAGTGATGGAGATGTTAATATGAAGTAGCATTTTGAGGCAAAGGTACAAAATATCTCCTCTCCCTCTCCGTCACACTCTGCCTGTCTTTCCTGGAGCTACCTTGATCTCCATCTCTCCTCTATCCCTCAGGCCTGCGAGGCCTCAAGTCGCTCGTATTCTACGAGACGCAGGCAGGAGTGTGTGACACGTCAAGCCCCAGTATGTCAGCGTCTCTGACAGAGACGTCACTGGCAACAGATGCAGCTGGAGGCCCAACAGCCACCGCGGCCAGTGTGGCGATGGAGCACAGCCATGTCCCACGGCTAACTGTCACAGCGAACAGTGTGCTTTAAAAGAGCCGTGTGAAGTGCAAATAGTATATTCAAATGAAGCTTTCATGATGTTCTGTGATCTGCTGTGCCACACTGGGCTCCGCTCGGGCTTTTGTTCCTCCCGGCTGATTAATAAGCCAGGTGTGACTCGTTGACTGTCGGTTGTGGCTACTGACTGAAACACTGTGCTAATAATGAAGCTCAACCGGTGTCATATCAGCCCGTAACTTGTACGTCCCCAGTCTCAGGAGAACATGTTGGTTTGAGGGGAAAACTGTGGTGAATAACACATTAACATATATTGTGTTCAACTAACAGTCCAAAACTGTATGACTTAATACCCTAACCCTGAACACAACATAACCCTTACCCTGTTTGCCGTTTTGTTACCCTGAAGGACATTTTCAGTGCTGTTTTTGTCGCGTTAAGCTAGCAGACGAGGATGGCCATACCCATCAATGAGGTCACCGGCGTATGGACTTGGGATGAGCTAATACACCATTATCTGTATTTGTTCAACCAACTAAATGATCT